AGCACAAGATGAAGAAACGATTTAACCATAATAAGCCTTCTAACCTTCGTTATCAGTAATCTCGTGGTGACCAGCTGGATTTAAACAAGCACAAAGGATATAGGTCGAGTTTGCAAGCAATGTGCTCGAAGCCGCGCCCTCAATAGACACATTAATCTTACAACATGTGGAACTGAAATAAGGTTAAAGGACCTGCCAAGCGTTTCTACAACTAAACAGCGAGAAAATGGGCAATAGACGTAATAGGCGAAACGTGTGAATTTATGGTACTTTAAAAAATACATCTTGTAGCAAAACTAGGCCGATCGATTAGGTGATTTTCCAAACGGCTCCTGATTGTAACCGACTTGAGGCGGTGGGTATCAAAGACTCCCGAAAGGCGAACATAACTTGTTTATTTCTTTGCTAATCGCAATGTAAGGCCCGTAAGAAGTGCTCGAAGGAAGTGCGGAGCTGCCCGCACCCGAGTATCCCAATGAACGATACTTCTGTTCGTTGAATTGCTAATTCACTTGTTACCCGCCAGGAGCAGCTGTTCGCCGACTCTATATACTTTCCTTAGTCGTTTGCGGCAAAAAGGAGAAAGGTTTAGTACAGAAATTGGTAATTTTTTGGGTGTGGCTTTTTTTGGGTAACACCGAAATTTTTCTTTTTTTTTTTAAGGTAAAAAAGATCCTCAATAGTATACCCGATCAAGAGGCGAAATTTATAAAAGATGCAAATGTTTCTAGAAAGGCCGGAAAGATGTCGCATATGCTGCGAATGCAATTTCCTTATGAAAATGCGAGGAAAAACTGCTGGTGTCTTGTTGCTGCACCACAATTGCAGTTTCAACGAAGGCAGGAACTTTTACATGAATATGCTCGTGAAGGTTCTTACAACTGAAAAAAGTTTTCAAGAAATCTTTCAAGATGAAAGCCGGGAAAACGTGTAAAATAATGCGCCTGACATCGGCGTCCTATCTGGGTGCTTTGCTTATAAAAGCTCAGATGAAAATCATTAGTGATGCGACGCTACATCGTAACCATGAATCTATGAATGGTAGAAATGTTTTCACGAAGTTCGAGAAGAGACCGAAGATGATGAAAAGCCTGACCATCGTAGCGTCTTCATCGTTGATGGGAGGGAGAAAAAAAGCAAAGTCAAGACAGGAGGTTGATACCAGAAAAAAGGGCATTAAAGATAAGCATTACCCAAGTTTCATTTTAAAGCAAGTTGAGTAAGATTTTTACCGAAATTGCAACAATTTTTAAGGACTTTTCACGAAACGCTATGACTGTTCATTTTTAGAACACCTCCTTATATTTCATAGTTTTTTTAAATTGCACCAACAGTTAAACGGCAAAATTTTTAAAAGTCGAAATTTCAAGAACGACATCAAAATCAATATTTAGGCCGCTTAGTAAAGGCAAAGTCACGTGAGTGAAAGGAAGAAAAAATTCTCTTTGCTTTTTGTATCTTTAATTTGCAAAAAATCATCCTCTTTGACCTAATGTTCATTTATTGTTTGCTTAGCTTAACGTTGGTAAGCGTTATAGTATACTTTGACATCCTTTGATGAAAATTTCAATGCTTTTAAAAGAAAATTGACCTAATTCCTGAGCACGTAAATTTTTGCTTAATGATGACAGTTAACAATTGCTATGCCTAAGTCATAGAGCAAGGTGATTACTGCTGAATACGCTTTCAATTCTTTCTGTGCACATGTACTTTTAAATTGGACTTTCGCTTCATAGTTACGAATAAATTTATTAAAAAGAAAAAAAAAAAAAAAACGAAAAAAAGAAGGAAAAGCAAACTTTGGATTAATTTCACTTTGTTCGCATAAGATAAAAAACGGAACGTTAAACTATAGAAAGATGTGAGGTAAACGGAAATTTTTCCTCTTAAAAAGGAAAGAGGATCGATGCTAATCACATCGAAATAAATTTATACCGATTGCTACTTGATGGTGGAGATCGGACATAATCTCAACACTAATCATCGAATTACTTACTTATATAAGGTGTTTGAAAAAATTTTGATCAGCAACTTTTACAGATAAAAATGATAAAGAAATGCGAAATACCCGGTCGAATTCGATGGTTTTGGACCTTCCTCTATATAAAATAACAGTTTTCCATTTAATATTATTGATTCATTCAGCGCGCACCCACGCTAATCATCGAGTGCTCAAAATTCTTCTCCTTCCAAATTCATTACTTTTGTTGTTCATTTGAACAAATCTGCTGCCGAAGCCGATCAGAAGTATTTAGGGGTTTAAGGTGATGCTGTTTCAACAAGTGCCATTTGTTGGACACTTGTTGCTAGAGTTGTCCAGGATACATTGTTGCAGCTCGAATGAGAACTTTTGCCATACCCAGCGTGCACCACCAGACGTGATACCTCCTAACTATCACTTGTGCAGATCGATGTAGCATGTCTTGACGGACACGTGAGTCCGAAAAGCTAAAAAAGTGCGCAAAAATGGATCTCTATCAAACTAATATAAGTTCTTTCGACATCACATCGTCATCTTACCAAAAATATTGAAAAATGTTGCAGACAATGATGGAAACTATTTTGTACCAATTTTCCACAATAAATGCCTTTTTCATGTGGAAAAGTGATTAAAACTTTTGCAAACACCTAACCTGTATATATGTATATATATTAAGGTGCATTGACTGTGAAATTTATTCAATTTTTAACATACTAATGCGTACACGCATGTTATATGGCCTCATAAAAACTTTATAGCCGGATTATAACATAAACGCTTGTAAAATTATTATTACATAGTGATAATAAAAAATTTGAAATTTTTAGAAAATAAAAAAAATTTATTTTTTCATCAAAATTTCCCATAAGCATAAACAAAGTCAATCTACGCTCCCTAATATTTAATAATGCTTAGTCGACAACAAAGGAAAGAAAATTTCCTATGAAATTTGCTAGAAATGCCGTCGGCTATGCAGGCGCTTATTGATATAACATAAATGAAATATTATCACTATGTCGACAAAACGCCTTACGTTTTCGAGATTTATATTTCTTTCTTGTGGTTTTTCTACTTTGTACTGATTTTTAAAACTTGCGCTACCTGCGGTCAGAGGTGTGTTAACTTTATGAGGTTGTATGTAACGCGAAGAACAATTTATTACGCTAAGTCGATACAGAACAATGATGAATGATGAATAACGATGAACGATGATTTAATTAGATTTAAGAAAAGTGTCTCACTGTCTGACTGTCTATCTGTTTACTTCTAATGTCTGTTTATGCAATTGAATTGCATTGAATTAAGGCTCTCGGTGAGAGTGTTTTTGTGTTCAGCCTTGAGGTCACAATGTTCGCCTTTTTTTGGCCATGGTACTTTTGACAAAAAATTATTCAAACTATTCCTAGTTATTTGAGTTTGATTATCTGACAAATATTTTCCTTTCCTTTCCCAAAAAAGAAAAATTTCACAAATATTTGAAATTGTCTTTCCTACACTTGTTAAGCATGTACATACCTATCTATCTATGCATTTCAATGTCCTTTTTATTTTATTTTGTGTTAATTTCTTCTCACATCAAAAGTCATTATTTATAGGAAATTCAAAGATATTGATTGCTCTTTTTTTCTTCTTCTTCTTTGTCGTCTCCTTTTTCAATTGTAGATTAAGAGATCTACAAACTTTTCTCCTTTTTAAAACTATAAACATGATGACTAACATTCCTAATCACTTCTATTATATTAGCGCACTTATGGGGAACGAGAGACGTAAGCCACATATCAATTTCGGAACAATTAAAAAAAAAAAAAAGTGAAAAAGTAAAAAATGAGTGAAGCAATGATTAAGAAGTGACACTGTATAAAACATTTGAAAACAACAATATGAAGTGATCCAGTATGTAGCCGTGAGCGAAGTGCGGTAAGTTTTTATAAGCTTTAGTTTTAAAATATATAAAGCATCGAAAGTTCTATAAAATATTTTGTTGACCCTAAAGTTGATATAAATTTTGTTTAATTAAAATAATTTAATTGCATTATACACCCAACTCCGAAATGAAAGTTTTTACTCAGTCTTTTTTTACACGATTTTAAATAACACGTTTTACCAATAGGAGCAACTACACTTTTTTTAAACGAATTCCCAAAATATATATATATATATATTAAAGTACAGTGTGGCAGTATTGGAATGGGACGCAAACAAATGGGCGACAAGTAATCATGACGCGTTCTCTCCCATTACCGCTAACGTTGACGGTATATACACTGAATAGTCGTAGCGCTGTAACCGTTCGCAAATCATCACTAACGAATGCCATCTATAAGAACTCATGCCAATGTAACGAAAAAGAGATATTATAGCCTTCCAGCGTTATGATGTTTGGCGCCATATGCGAAAGCCGTCCAAAAAAAAAAAAATACTACTTTCAATGTTCAGTTCAGCAGACGTTACTCCTTCTGATTAAGACTGATATTGACCAATGAGTTTCTCTTTTTTTTCAATCCGGGCTAAAAAATTAGTTGCCTACGTAGAAAGCCTTAAATGAACAGTTGGCATTTCACTCACGAATTTCACTAGTTGTCATTCACCATCTACGTTGAAAAAGAGAAAGATGGGAAGAAAAGTTTGTGTACCTGTTAGTATTGTTTGAAATGAAATATTGTGACCCTTTCTTTATCCTTACGGATCAATTTGCGCACCCGATATATGTAAACATACATTGACGTTGGTTTGTGTATATTTATCTATCTATGTGCTTTCCTTGAAAACGTAAATTTTATATGTATGCTTAAAGCCTAACAACAACGACAAAAACACCATTAGATTTAGAAACTTTTATATGAAACTTATTTCCTATTTTTAGTGCCTCACTATGCGATTATCGGTGTAGTAATGTACAACATACAAACCTCAAATTCATTATCCATAACTACTTTCTATTGTTAAGCAAGTAAGTAAGTATATTATTTATAAAATGAATGTGGAAATGAATAATGGAAAACTTAATTAAAAACAACGTTTAAACTTGTTCGTTTTTGGTCGCGGGTATGATGGCCTGCACTCCCGATATCGGGACATCTTCTATATCATTTAAATAGTCATCATTAAATGCATTCGTTGATAGAAGCGTAGCGTTACGTGGTGGCGGTGGCAAAAGTAATGAATTCATTTCGTTGCACAAATATTTAAATTTCATTCTAGAGGGCTTTAGAATCTGAAAGGAACATAGTAGATTAGTATCCACCGTCATAATGGCGCCAGCATTATCGAATTCGCCACAATATTGAGGAGCAGAAAATAAAGTGACCAATTGACGGCCACCAAAGAATTCATAACCATCTCGGACGACCTCATGCGCACGGCATATTAAGTCCAGATGATGATTATTTAAAAATTCCGTTACAATGTCCACGCCAAATGTGTAGCTTACTCCGCGACTATTTTCGCCCCAGCCCTGCACATCTCGGTCTGGATCGCTCCATAACAGATCGCACGACAAGCCGTTATCGGGTATATCAAGAGGACGTACCAAACGTCGTATTTGATCCATACTATGCAAATCGGGACTTAGACCGCCATGGACGCAGAATATCTTTTCCTCAACGATAGCAGCCAGTGGCAAACAATTGAAACAATCTATAAACGATTTCCATAATTTTACATTATAATATCGTTTACATTCATCATAAAATCCATAGAAACGATTAATTCCAGCGCATTCATGATTGCCGCGCAACATAAAGAAATTCCCGGGATATTTGATTTTATAAGCTAGCAGCAGGCAAATTGTTTCCAATGATTGCTTCCCGCGATCTACATAATCGCCCAAGAATAGATAATTGGCTATCGGAGGAAAGCCACATAGTTCGAATATATTCAAGAGATCTGAGTATTGACCATGTATATCGCCGCATATGACTAATGGGGCCTCTAATTCGAGGAGAATAGGTTGCTGTAAGAATAACTCCTGGGATTTCAAGCATAAACCACGTACTTCCGATTCCGTTATTTGCATTGCTTCCCAAGTAGGTTTCTTCAACAGTTGTTCTATTATATTATCGACATTTATTACGATTGCATCCATTCTTTGCACAAATTAATTCTTTACTACTGAACCGTAACTATATAATAATTTTCTTCAATAGTTTTTTCCTTTTTGAAAGCAAAAACTTGATTACTACGTTTGCTTTTCTTAAACGGTGACGCTTTAAAGTAACTAGTAACTAGATGCTCTTTTTTCTTACAGTATACAGTTCAGTTGATGAGTCACAGTTTCCTGAAAATTTCTCAATTTTAACATGAAGAAGAATCAACAGCACTTGTGCGAAAAAGTTGAAGAATATGTTTACGCATGCTCAGCAATTTACGTAGAATCTGAGGTAAAGTAAACCTTTTAATCCATAATTTGCTTTGGTCAAAGCTATGCATAGCAACTATAGTCGGCTTTGCCATGCAGTACTGTTTCAATTTGTATTGTGCAAATTTATGGATCAAGTTTTTAGATAGCACGAAGCGGGAAACATTTCATATTATAATTTCAGTCTTGACACTGTATATTTTAGGCACGTACTAGCCGAAATTTGTGGAAACTGCTCTTAACCACTTTTCTATTGCTTGAACAGATCTCTTGTATGATACATGTACCGTTTCCACTACATGCTAAATCTTATCTGTATGCCATGCTCAACATTACTTATAGCTAACATTGATTAATGTGATATAACAAAGTTTACAACATTATTTGAAAAGGGTACCCGATAGCAGCAGACACTCCATGGTAATTACTCGTCTATGTGTGTCTTAAAAATATTAAAAAATCTTGTTTTTAATCATACTTTCAACGAAATAGGGGAAATACCTTAATGCCCAACAATAACTAAATAATACATTTTTGCTCATTTCAAGGTGCATCAAAAAAATGAAAAACGATTTCATTCATATTTCGTACAAGCGTTCGTTTATTTAGCCATCAGTTTAGAAAAATATTTAATTGATACTGTGGGAATAGCGTAGATTGTTAGAGGTTATGCACGATTTGTTCTTCATCATGTTCATTATTTAATACGCCGTATTTTTCGTCTCCGTTTCCGTGCCAATCGGTCACCAGGCATTGAAGCCGGCATGAAAATATTGCGGGACGTTGAAGTGCTGTCTTCATTAAAATGGGGCTTTGTAGTCAACATACTTTCACTAGATCCGGTAAAATTATAGACAGATTGTTGCGTAACTGTGGCTCCAGTGTTGAAAGCTGGCTTTGCTGTATTAACAAATGAGATAAAAAAAAGTGAGTCAATTGAGCTTTGGACAGCTGGATCCATAAATATTGCCTGGGAAGTAATCTGTGAATTAGTCGCCTGTTCGGCCATTGATGGACAACTCACGGATGTTGTTGTTGTGGCATCTGATGTAGATAAAATAGTTTCCGAGTTTCTTTTAAATGCAAATCCACTAGTAACACTTGTGGGCACATTGCCTTGCTGTATTCTAGTTGTGCCATTACAAGAACCTTTATTAATGTTGTCACTTGAGTTTTCAGTGAAGGTGCCGCTATCGCATGTCGAAGCGGAGCTTTGAGTACCGAAGTCTACTGCGGATTGGGTAGATTTTATCGCCAAGGTGTCTGTCGTAGTTAATGCTGTGGTTGCCTGTTTCGATTCGTTTGTGTTCTTTGATGTGTTGCTCGGTAAGGAGCCATATGAAAACTTGGCGACGCTACCGGCAAAAGTAAATTTTTCGGCATTGTTGGCAAAAGCATTTGCAAAAATCGACCTGAGCTTGGGTTGTTCTCAACATATGCATTTAATGCGATTAACATCATTTCTACTCATTCCCATTTGGATGCTGTTTCTTGGGCAGACAGCAATTTCAATCTGGAATTTGGTGGTGCAGAAGCAGTGAAGTTTGAGGTGGTTGCGGTTGTATGATTGACATCGATTAATTTTCGCGGTAGACGAGCAAACTTAAAACCACTGGTTGATGCAACGGACCCACCACCACTGCCAAACTTTTCGTTATGCCCGGGATTTTTATTTTGACCACCTACTAAACATTGGTCGCATTGGCAGATATTTGATATGGAGGTCGATGAAGAAATTTTCTTTGTTGTTTCGCACTCAACACATTCACTAGATTCCTCATTATTTCGAACCATACGCTCTTCACAGTCCCATTCTTCTGTATTCATTTTAAATGCACTTCTAAAAGCAGAAGAAGTCAACGGTAAATTATTAAAAGTTGTTGTCAAACCTGTCTGTTGTTTTTCAAACTTTTTAGTTATTTCGCAAGCAGAACACTTCACAGCTTCTGAGTTTGTTGCGTACCCTACACACGTTACATTTCCGCTCGTCTTCGCTTTTCCTAAACTGAAAAGTGCCGTCCAAGGTGGTTTTAGAGGCTTCTGCCTTGCTTTTGGACGAAGTTAATAGTTCTTTGTTTAGGGTTTCTGAAAAGCTACCACTCTTCGGCTGAGATGTCTTGTAACAAATTTGAGCCCTATTGAAAATACGTCAAATATAAGTTTTCTTTACGATCACTTTCTCTGTAATGTGTTTATGTGAGAAGAATTGGGCCTTTCGTGAGAAAAATATGTGAAAAGTAATATCGGGAAAATTGGGATCAGTTACTGAATCTTCCTTCGTAGATATGTTTTGAAAAAAGAAGGCTTTAAATGACAATACTGTATAATTTGTAATAAGTTAAGCAGACGGTTGGTCTATACTATGAACTTACTCTTCCAAATTTTGATCATGTTGATCTATATTACGACGACGCCTTCCTAACGACATGTGAACGTCCATATAGCAACGAATAATAAGAATTTTTGCGTTACTCATGTCGAAACAAATAAAAACGTGGTAGGCGACTATCGACCGATCATCGAACACCTACACGGTTTGGCCTAATATAATGCTTAATGTATTGTCATGATAAAATACAAAAAATTTTACCTTGTTCCCATTTAACGAAACACTTTTCATGGGCGAAAGCCCAAAATGAAAACTGACGTTATGTACATTTAGCAAACTTTATATTCTTGTTACCGATCTTCTTATTCTTCATCTATTTATGCCGTAAAGAGTTAAGAATTGAACTTTTCGTCGTAACAAGGCTTCCTTTTCATGATAAACCTTAAACCGAGACGGAAAAATCAATCTAACTGTTCAAAATTTGCTATTCCTTTGGCGGTCACTTAGCATATGGTGCTCTCTTTTTGGGGAGGTGGTTATATGAAAAGAATTAGTTGACATTCTAAATTAAGGCAAAAATTAGAAGAGCCTAACGCAATTTACTACAACTCCTCCCATATGATCAATCTTATAAAAAGTAACTCTATAACCCAAGTTGGAAAGGTCTAATTTTCAATATTTCAGGGGCAAAATGTAACTTAGAAATGAACGTTAGGGAACTTGGATCAGATAGACCTATTATTTGGACCCGGCAGCAAATAAGAGCTGCCCATTTATGGGAGAAAAGTTCTAATTTTTAATATTTTGTAATATATCGTAGTAGAAAATTCGATATAAAAATTAACTGCATCGAATTTGGATCACCTATGTCAATTTGCTGGACCCCAGCTTGTTTAAATTTTTGGCATAAAACTTTGAAATAAAATATAATTTTCGTTGTGTGTTATTACGAAAATGATATTAAACAAAGTGGTTTAGGGTATTTAATAATCGGCTTTGTTCGATCATAATATTTTCTACTAACAGGAAGTAGACAAAGAGTCAAGTGACTGTCAAAGAAAAAAGGAAAGTAACAGAAGAAAACGAAAGAAGAGATTCTGTTATCTAATCTAAGACCTGGAGAGAATAACACATTCAAAGAATGAGAAGAGGTAAACTTTTCATCACACTTAATAATAGATCTTTTTAAACTAAAAAAAAATTTTAAATATGCCATCCATCATGAAAAGAAAAACCCAGGTCATCATTTGAAGATGTTGAAAAAAAATTACAAGATAGATTTCTCATTATTTGGTTGTCGCAAATCAACCAAGTGAAGTGAAAGTTTGACGGCTGGTATTGTGGAGATATAACAATGGAAAACTGAAAATGTAGCCAGTAGGGTGAAAGGAAAGAAAATACAGTATTATTTATTTATTTGAAGCGAGAGACAACCACCTATCAATAATCATACAACTCGTTGAATCGATATTTTCTTACAATCGATTCAATAAACTTGGAATAACAATTAACAAATAAACTTAAAGGTAGATAGACGAACTTAGTATCTCTACAAGCAATACAAGAGAGATTAGATGCTCCTTAGTTAAGGCAATAGAAAACTAAATTAATTAACTAATTGATCGGAAGGAAGATTGATAAAAAGTTGGGCAAGGCCGATCATTTAATACTATACGTCAGTTCGCTTAGTACCCTTATTGAGTTCTTTTGGTAGTAGTAGCAGTATGCTGCAAGGACCAAAGTTGCAGAGCTTCTGCTAATCTTACTCGCAGTTATAAGTTATCCCTATGTAATTAAAACAGGATAAGTATATCTTACTTTCCATTGATTTTCCTTTGTAGCGAGTACTTTGTTTTACTTTCCATTGATTTTCTTTTACACCGAGCAGTTGGTTATTCCCTTTTGTCTATCATAGGGATGCTGTATACTATAAGCAAAGACGATATGGCTTGGGAATTTCATATTCGATATAAGTTACCTGAGATACTTCGAATGTGATCAACTAACTCTGTGGCAGCGTTCAATCGATTATGAGCACAGTGGAGAGTAGGATTGCTTATCCTCTTCCCTCTGGATCGAAAGGCCGACTAGTTAATACACTAATGTCCAAAATAAAATCTGCCATTATCCGCTGAGATTGTATGTTGCAGCTGTCGAATCAGGGATATTCTGAAGGAAGACAGTCCGTTTCGTCCGATAACCGCAGGCGATAGGGTTTTTATTTTAAGTATAGGCATTTATAGGCATTTATACCCCTTTCTTTATTACTCGAACTATGTATGTTTGTTAGTGATATAAGACATATTAGGATTTTTAATGAGATCAGAAATATAAGTAACGAAGGGAAGAAAGCCTGCAATATCCGCTCGGCATTATTTTATTAAAAGGTAAATTTTTT